GGTTTTATATTAATCAAAATTTTTAGCTGCTCGTCTAGTGTGTAGCTTTCGTTGCTTTGCGCCATCTTTTCAAAAGTCGCGAACAGCGCATGCCCGTCGTTCATGTTTTTGGTTCTAGGCGGTAAGTAGCAGCCCTTTTTACCTGCCTCTTGCAGTGATTTATGCTCTAAGCTCACTGAAAAGCGCACAGTTTCCATCTCTTCTTCTGAAAGTTTTTCCTGCTGCGCAAAATCTTTCAAAATTTCGTCGATAGCGTTTTGAGTAATTTGTTCCAAAGCGCCTAGACCTATCTTTCCTTCTAATTTTTTCAGCGTGATCGCCGATTCGTAGGTATAGCTGTTAAACTTTTTGTGTTTCGTCTTTGCTAAGGGTGTTCGCTCGTAAATTTGCGGCAGGCCTACCGCATCGTCAATCTCAGAGCTCCACGGGTCGAGTGTCCATTGTGTTCCGTTGCCCTCTTGCATCGTAAACGGTGCGCTCTCCAATGTCGTTGGCGATGGAGTGGGACTCGGTGTGTACTCCACCAGCTTCCTCTTCCTCGAAGACGTTTGGTCTTCCATTCTCTATCTGTAATTGTTTATTGTAACTCGCTCTTTAATTCAACAAACAACTTGAAAGGATATTTTAGAAATTTAGATTGGAAACGACGAAGAAAAGAAATAAGGCTAAAGCTGCTGCAAATTAAGGGAAATCGTAGGATGGGTCGTTGGAGGCTTTTACCGAAACTTTTACAAGATTGGTTTTTGGGGAATTTACTACTATCCTATAATTTAGCTGGTCAACCTCGTGGGCCAACCCTTTCGCATGCAAAGCTAATACACGCTTGATATGGGAGAGAATTTTTTCTTCAAGCCCTTCCGAGCATAGTTTCACGTTCTTGAAAGCAAACTCGTAAGTCTTCTCGTTCGCTCCGATGGTACAATAGTCGAAGAGAATCGGGAGATCTTCCTTATCCATATCTGAAAAGTTTTTTATTTCATTACAAACTTCTGAATAAGCACATTAGAGAAATGGAAATGCCAGAGTGAAAAGGTTGAAAAAAAGTAATCTACGCCCGAATAGAAATCAATAAAAGAGAGGAAGTTGAAAAAAGTAATCTACGCCCGAATAGAAATCAATAAAAGAAAGGAGGAAATTGTACGCGAATTAAAGGTATGCGTTTACGTAGATAATAGTTTGATTTTTGTGAAGCATGTCGAAATCCTTGGGCGATTGCAAGTTGTGATTGAGCATTGTCGCCTTGAGTTTTCCCATTAAAATGTGGGTTTTGGGGTTTTTGCGAGTGCACGATTGCACATGGATCGCTTTGAGTCCGTTTTTGGTGAGCAATACGTGGTTGATGGTCACGTCGAAAGCTGTGACGGGCTTGTTTTTAAGCTTTTCAATTTCGCTTAGCAAAGCCAGAGTGGCATTTTGGACGATGACCTCTCGGTTATGCCAGAAATTTGTGCGATCATTGGCCGCTGTGATCGCCCCTAGCACCCCTTCAAAATTCAGGGTGCCTTTAGCGCGATACTCCCCATGCGCCTTTTCGCAAAAAGTGCGGATGACGGGAGGGAGGCATCCTGGGGCTCGCGTCACGGGAACCCAGTTTCTAAACTCCCCGCAGAGCTGGTCGATCGACTCTTCGTTTTCCCATTGACGGAGCATTTCTGCAAAAAGCTTTATTTAAGAAGTCGTACGAGGTCTTTAGGCAGAGGATTGGAGCGAACATTGAAGTGAATATACAAGTCCATGGGAGTCGCATGTAGAGGACGAAGCATTTTGAGATCTTCCGGTCTTATTTGTTTGAGAACGTAGTCGAAAATTATTGTTCCATAATCCCTATCTTTAAAGCAAGGTCTAAGGGTAAAAACATATTCAGACCCTTTGTTTAACGATATAATAATATCAAAACCTTCTCTACTTACATAACCCTTTATCTTTTCTGCATACTTGACCATTTTTTTAACCAATCTATCGACAACTTGAGAGCCTTTTAGTAAAAAGGCATCTTCCATCTGCTCGTCGCTCATATCAAGTGTCTTGTCTATCTGATCGTCAATGATTAGTTGGATATCATCAATTCTATAGCCTTCGAGCCAAGGAGTTTCATATCCAGCCGACTCCTTTGCGTCAATTTTGAGGGCAACCTCTTTTATGCTAGCGCGGGCCTCCAGGCGTCTACCCCTTTTCGGGCAGGGCATCTCTCTAAATATTTATTCGCATGGTTGCATTTGTGGTAAGGGCATAGAAGAGTCAGTTTTTGCGATTTCAAAATCGCTAACCATTTGGAAATTAAGGAGGGGTTTTTTCGCTAGCTGGGCGATGACTTCAAAGCTTTGAGTTTCCTCCGTTTCTAGTTTATGCACAATATCGCATTGGGTAGTGACATGACAGCGCTCTATTTGTATGCGTTCAAACTGCGCTCCAATACTTATGCAAATCTCAAATTCGAGCCATTTTATTCCTTCTATCGCGTTTGTAAAGGGATTTACACAGATCTTTTTTAGAAGCAGCTGCGCGGCATCTTCTATGTCGTACCTCGTCTTTTCGCTAGCCAATTTTTTAGCATGCAGCCGTTCTGACTCGTAATATTGGATTTCAAAAGGGTTGCCTTGGCTTGCATGTTTTTTAAAATACGGATTTCTAGAGATAATATGGTTTACCGCTCTCGCGATCAAATGGCATAGAGTTGTTTTAAAAAGCTGGTCTCTCCAGCGGAGGGGTATTTCGGTCCTTTGAAAAGTTTTCAGTATTGTTAAACCTAGATTTAGCGTCGTAATGGTTTTGGGATCGACTTGAAAAGGTGGTATGACGTCCCAAATGAGTTCTTCGAGCATAAAATCGCGGCATAGCTCAGAGCTTAGCCCTTTCGGTGGTATTTCGCCCTTTTCCATCTCGAACCTGACATTTTTATTTTGGTTTAATCGTAGTAGCAAGGATAATATTCGGAGCTATCTATAACGGGCGTGCCAAATGTGATACAAAAAGACATTTCTAGATCACAAAACGGTTTTTCGAGTTTTTCTGTTTCGAGTTTCTCTCGCAAAATTTTAAACATTGAATTAATTTGCTCAAGACCTAGTTCCTCAAAGGTGGCGTAACTGCAATTATCAATAGAAACTGTCAAAGCAGGGCAATCGTTAAACATTAGATACATTGTAAAGTCGTTTTCTTCAGCATGAAGTTTGGAAAGACGGCGTCTGTGCGGATCGAATCTCCATGAGGTTATATTTTTGCTGTGGTACAGCAAAGAGCTTACTACGATTGTTGTCAAAAGAGGTGCTCTATCCCAAAAGTTTTTATCGGTATTGTCTTTGATAAAACTATTATAAACGGGGCAGACATAAGCCTGTCTGCATTTTAGAGCCGGGTCGCCGGGAAATGTGCAAGCAATGACCCCATCCTTGGCCCCCCGAAGTTCGATAAAACCACCGTATGTGGACATGGTTCAAAAAAAAAAGAAATCGGTATCCACGATGCAGGAATATGTTTTGCCGTGGGGACGGCTCCCTTATATACCCCTGCTCCTCCTCTGTTTTCTGCTCCGCTCTCCGGGGTGGGGTTGGAGTCGTGAGCACGGGCTTGTGTCGCTTGAAGCTCGCTAAAGCCTAAAAATGCACAAACTCGCCATTTTGGAACGTTTGTTGGAATGTTGGAATGCGTTGGCCGGGCGGATAGAGCGTGAGAGGGCGTGGCTATTGAAAGTGGGATGCGCGGGGAGGCAGAAAGCGCCATTTGTTGCCAAACACCGTTCCTGTGCGCTGGGCGAGAGAGAGCATGAGAGGGATTGGAAATGCACTTTTTGGGCACGGGGAGGCAAAAAACGCCCTTTGTGGCCAAACGCCGTTCCTGGGCGCTGGGCGAGAGAGAGAGGCGACTGTGCCTTTCGAGGCGCGGGGAGGCAAAAGAGCCTATGTAGGCCAAACGCGGTTCCTGCAAGTAGTGAAAATGCGTTTGCTCGATGTGAACGTCGTTGGTGGTCCGGGGAAACCCCTTTCCTGTGTGAAAAGTGCACATGCACTGTGAAACATTTTGTGGAATTTATGTCACTGACATTTTTTCTATTTTCAGTAGATGACATAAAATAGGATAGTATTGTAGTATAGTTGATGATGGAGAAAACCGAAAAGTTCTCGGCGCGAAAACGACTTTTTGATTGCGCGTCAATTACATGTCGTAATGCCCTGTAAGGCGCCCAATCTCTCGATCTCGGTGATTCTCTGATCAATTTCCATAATAAAAAAGTCTAGAATTATCAAAATTCAGTGAGCATTCCAGAAATAGAGTCAGAATTTGAAATCAAGCGTTTTCACGTCCAAACGGGAGCAAAGACGCATCGGGCTATTGGCCAGAAATCAGCGCTGCGGCGCTTTTTCCTGGGCCTTCCTGATCCCTTTAAAGACTTGTAGATGACCAGATGCTTACAGTCGCTTCGCGACTGCAGCCATCTGGCCTTCGGGCTACCCTACATGTCCCACTCCACCACATCCTTTCCCACCTCCATCAATACCCCCGATAGCCGAAATCCCCTTCAAAAACTACCTAAATACCTTCCCGATGGCTTAAGATACCTCCCCTAGCCGAAATCCTTTTAAAAAACGAAAATAACGACCGACCGGATGGAATGAGAGAAAAAAGAAATGAAATCCCCGTGAAAATTTTCATCCACGAAACGCGCGCGACCTGGCTCACTATGTCCAAAATCATCCCAACCTCCGTCCCCCACCCCTTTTACTAAGGAAAAAACTTTCAAAATTAATTTTAATAATTTAAACTAAAACTTTTTCGTAATTTTTTCATCAGTTTGGGGGGTTTCTGACCACGCTCTATCCGAAGCCGAAGAGACCTAAGCTCTAGCTCCTTTCCCCTTCGAGTTGAATTCGGGACATGACGGACAGACACCACAGCAAAATTATTATAGTAGATAACACTGGCATCTGAAATTTGCATATTCCGAAATTACTCCAAAACGACGCCAAGCAAAGGCGCAGATTTCCTGTGGCCCTCACCTCAACATGGCTGCCTGGTACGGTCGGTTTTTATGCAAATTTTTAAATTTAAAATCTAGAGGTAAATTCAGATATTTAAGTTATTATTAGCAACTAATTAAAACTGAAATTAAAATAGCTAGGGCAACTTAAAATCCAGCTAGTTTTTTGAAGATTTTTAATTAGTTAAATTTTAGTGTTGATCCCGGTCGTCACCGCCTTCTACGCCATTCTGACGTGCGGCAAGAAGAAGTCGACGCAGAAAGCGGTGATCATTAATTTTTAAATGATATATTTTTTTATGGTTTTTTGATTAATTTAACCCTTTTTTCCTTTTTTGATATCTGAAACACCATTTTTTTAGCAAAGCACCTCCGACGCAGCCGCCGCGGCCCCCGCCGTGCCGGCCCTCGATCGATTCGCCATTACCGACCTGAAGGTACCGTAGTTTTTAGCACTTGCTAGGTTCATAATTTATTTCATTGTTATTAAATTTATTCATTGAGTTCGTTTTGTAGAAAACACGGTAATTTCGGTTCTGGACTGTTAGCGGGGGGAGTGATTTAATGGCGGCGGGAATCATTTTCTGTTTTTCCACCTATGCCTGCCTGCTGATGGCGAGGATTTTATTGAGTTTTTAGTAGTCTTAGATTGCTAGCACGTTATAAAAACAAATTTTTTAATTTTGAAAATTTGAAAGTGTTCAAATCACCAAAAATTCGAAAATTTTCGAAAATTTGTAGTATTTTATATTGTTTTTCGCTCCAAAACTATGCAAAATGCTATAAAAATACTTTATGTTTTGTCATAGGGGCCGTAGAGAATCACAGGGAAAAAGTAGGTTCCCCCCCCCCGCTAACAGCCTAGAACCGAATACAGTCTCCAATTGATAATTGCCATTTTTGCTTCCGACTTGGTCTTCTGAAATCCGCAAATTTCAGAAAGTCGACATCAACGAACCCGACGCCGAGAACGAGGCCAAAGTTAAATTTGACAATGTCGGTGATTTTCCAGAATTTTCCGAAAAAGTGTTTTACCTTTTTTTTGGATCAAACCACCAATATTTTAATTTATTATGGCCTTGAGAAATTTTTCAGGAAGTCTGGAAGCCGAAGGTGACGATCAAGTCGATGACGATCACCGAGGCCAACTACAAGGACGCCCTCAAGCGGTTCAACGGCGGTCCCGTCCGGCATGAGGACCCGCCCAAGCAGCTCCCAAAACAGTACGCTTTTTCTTAGTGATTAGCGAGTTAATTTTGACGAGACTTTTGCATTATCGAGGGGGGTGGTTATTTTCTTGAGAACCTATCTTTTTTATATAAAGCTGAAGTGTTTCTAAGCTGTTTTTACTATTCCAAATGTAAAAACTTTACAAAAGTTTATTTAAAAAGCAAAAAATATGGATCAATTTTTTGGCCAAAATTTCGACTTTTTCAAAAATTTTGCAAAGTTTTAGATGGTCTTTCTAGTCAAAATATAGTTTTATGTCAATAAAAACATTACAAAATTACTTCATTAGGAGTTTCTAGATTAATACAAAAAGAATCCCCTCCCCCGATAACGCAAAAGACCACAACAATTAGCACCTAGTCTAATCCCCATTGTTATTTTTCTAGGAAGCCGAAGAAAGATCTGAAGGTGAAGCTGATGGAGAAGTGCACGGTGTACATCGTCTACAAGGAGGACGCGTGCCGGGCCGGCGAGAAGGACATTGCAGATACGGTGGGTAGCAGCGGCAGTTTAGCAAAGCCAAAAAAAATTAGTGCAAACTAGCAGAGATCCTTCGCGGAAAGTTAACGAGAAATATCCCAACGCTTCAGGTAGACGAAGAGCTGCCGGCCGACAAGAACTCGTCGGACGAGAAGAAGCCGAGCTCGTCGGAGGAGAAATCGGGCGAAGTCAAGAAATGAAACCCCGCCCCCTCCCTGCCGACAAACTGGTCGCCCACCTCACCTCGAACACACGAAATAACGGCCAAAACGATCGATACCTTGTGCCTTAACCCATCATTTTCTTTTTACCATGTGTTTTTGTGTGTTTAATAAACTATGAAAAGCACAAAGAAATGCACGGCAGAGAATTCAAGACGAGAGTATTTTTTTTTACTTCAAGATCGAAGCGAAAAAGACCATTTTCGGCCGCAATATCATAATTTCCTTTTCCGAGTGCGCTTTGGGTGTAAAAACAGTAAAAAGCGCTGAATTTGGAGATTTTTTTGCGATTTCAAAGAGAACCATACATCGCGTCTTAAAACTGAATCCGCCCCCGAAACTGGCAGTACGTTTTCCGTACCATAAGCTTGTAAAATCTTTAAAATAAGCAAAGTTTTCATTTTAAAGGCGATTAGAGCGATGTTTTCGATGCAAAACCGACATTTTTATTGTGTAAAACGCCCAGATGGCAAACTATCTAGTGTACCGAACGAGCGGCGCGTTGCGGAATTACCCTACCGCGCCGTCGGCCAGAGGAGAAATTTGATTTTTTGGATTTTCGCGGTTTTTCTATGATATTTTTCTTTGATAAAACGCTATGTTGCTGGAAGTTTCCTCGTTTCAAAAAATCTGTAGGGCCCGCGCGCTTTTTAAATTTATGCTTATTCGGCTTTGTAAACTGCCTCTTTTTCTATTATAAAAAGTCAAAAACCTGCGCGGTGATGCGAAACTTTGATAGCGCTTTTCGATCCCTCAAATAACGAATGAAATATTTTTACGTGAGCGTCTTGGAAAATTGGCTGTAGTGAAGCTTTCTAGGCACTAAGGTTTTCTGCGCTGTCGTCATTTCTCGGGGCGAGAGCTCCTTGCGTACTTCTCTCTCGTTGCGGCACGGTCTTGTAGATGTTCTCGTTAATCTCCGTCTCACCTTTGAATTAATAGTTTTCTGACCGGTTTTCAATCGATATGTTCTCTTTTACACAACTTTTGCTCCCCATAGCACTAACTAATTTCATCAAAATCAAATCAAAACCGACAGAGACCAAAATTCACGAAATAAACGTTATTCGGCGCTTCGGGGTTGACAGTTCTCTTCGATTGGCTCTTACATCCCTTTATTTACTTTATGCGCAGCGAAAAGCACTGAAAAATCTAGATTTGTAGGCCTTTTATATTTCATCGTCAAAACTTGCGCAAAATTCGTTTTGAGGGAGTTGCTCAACGTTCGATTTTCCCGAGTTTCGCAAAATCATGGCCCCCAAATTTAATCTTTTCAGAAACCAGACATTTTGACGGATAAAATGCGAAAATTCTTCACCGCCCAGCCAAGAAACCCGAAGGCGGCGCCCGAGAATCCACCAAAGAAGTCGAGACTGGAAAATGAAGTACGTTTCGTCTCAGCAAAATTAATTTATGCTTTAGGCTCCTTCGAAACCGCAAGAAAATTTCCTGAAAGCACCCGGGATTCGATTGGTGCGTTTCGACGTTTCAAATGAAAAATTTGCATATCATAGGACTTGGAGCAAGCCAGGAAGCGGCGCGAGACAAGACTCGCCGAGTTCGAGCTGCGCAAAAATGACCCAGCTTTCATGGAGAATGTAACCTACTATGATTTCTGAACGGGCTTCTTCAGATATTTGAAATGTGCAAACGGGAGATGCTGACGAGGAAAGAGTTTGGAGACACGAGCGCTTTGAAGAAAGTACGCAGTCATTTTTATGATTCGCAAACCTGGATTTAGCACGGGCTGACGAATCTGCGATTTGCCGACGGATTTGGCAACGGCGAAGCGCGGCTCCGAGCGATTGCCGTCCCGAAAGATGTCATGAAGTCTTTCCAGCAGGGAGAAAAGTGAGAGCTGACCAATGTTATGCGTACATTTCTTAGGTTCTACTTCCGAAGCGGGGCCAAGGATCCGCTGGTGATGTGCACCGCGAATAGCACGTTCACGATCCAGGTGGAGTTGCCGTATTTTTCTCAGAACTTTGTTTTAGAGAAACGCGTCAGATGCTTTGTTTGCGGTCGCACCGTTGAGAATCAGTCGCGAGGATGAACGAGCCAAGGATTTCAAAGAGTGTGAGGTATAACGGATTCCCTTTTCGAGTAATAGTTGTTTCATTTAGATTCGCGCCCCCGTCGACTCGCGTTTGCACCTTGCCATTCCACGCGGCAACTTTGACTGGTCGGCCGTTCGGCGGCTTTTAAAGGAAGACGAACTCCACCACGTCGAAGATGAAGAGCTCACCGACATCTCCGAAGATCCGAACCATCAAAAACGGTAGAATATCTTTCCTTTTTATGATCTTGATTTGGCGCTATTTCGGAATAGGGGACCCACTTTGATCATTCTAAAAACCACTTTTGCTGGGGTAATTTTGCACGGTCGTTCCGAAAAACGGTACCCCATCCCGTAAAACGTACATTTTCACCATAATATTTGATCTTTATAGGATCGCTATGGTACATAGGGCGGGCGGACTTGGCTTCAAAAGTACATTTGCGAGGCAATTCCCTTGGGTGAATATGTTTTTGGCTTGAGTCTAGGCTTTATGGCAATGCCCACATACGCTAAGCTGAAGCTTCCGTAAAAAAACAGCCTAGGATCCCCCTTACGTTACACGGGAGCTTGGAAAGTCGCCCATATAGGGCCTAGCTTACAAGTAGACTCTACGCGAGGTGGGTTCGTCTGGATGACCGAGATTTGGTCTCAATCAAGCTAGTTCATCAGTCGGTCTTAGTTGGCTTTTAAAGTTTAGAGGTTGCAAAACGGAGCTATCAGTGTATTGTGGCCAAAAGTCAGGCACGCACACTTAGATTCCCTAGCAGTTCATTAGACTTGCAAAAATTTTTATGTCGAAGGCTAGGGTTCTACACGTTGGTATGGTGTTTTTCGCAACCAGCACGCAAAACTATCCAAGAAAACATGTCGCAAACCCTAGATTTGATAAAATCCAAGTGGGTCCCCTATTCCGAAATAGCGCCCTTGATTTAGCTACTCTATTCGCCAGCTGTTACGCCAGCTGCCAATCAGTGAGGGCGAACTGCGTGCGTTTTGCAAACGTCTACCGATCATCGATGTAGACGGTACCGAAGCAATTCGATCCATTTTTCCTGGTTTAGGAAAGCTTGTCTGGATGACGCCACAATATTGCGCGCACCTTCTCGATTTGCTCGTCGACCTCTTTGATGAAGACACCGCCAGCGAGGTCAACGTACGTTTTTCTTGATGGTTCACACCTCATTTTAGGCGAACCACTGCACATTTGACGCTCTCCGCGCCGCTTTTCCGGCAGAAGTGCCCGATTCTGGGATAAAGTGGTTGATCGAGCAAACGATGGATTCGGCGGATGATGGGGGTAAGCACCAACTGCCGATTTTTAACCAATTTTATAGTTTTCACCGTCAACGAAGCCAAGTTGGTGAACAACCGCCTGCGCTACATCCTGCCCTTCACGCCGATCCGAATGTACGACGATTTGGCAAGGATCGTCGATCGAATTCTGCCGGCTGGAGTCTCTTTCAAGTGAGATACATTTTGGTGCTAATGCAGTTAGGGTGGGGCAGTCCGGATTTTGACTACAAGACGCTCCAAATGCCATTTTGAAACTCGAAGCCTCTAGAAAAGCTACGCTAAGCCTAGGCTTAGCTTCATACAAACGAAGCCTGAGCCTAGCTTGCTTAGCGAACCCCTAAACGTCCCCATTTTTACCTCGTAAAGCAATTTGAAGCTCAAGCTAAGTTAAGTCTAGGCTTATGCTGAAAATTAAATAGCTTAAGCGGAGCGCCTTACTGCCAATTTCGGACCGCCCCCCCTAACTGCATTAGCACCTCCATTTCTTTTCAAGAAAGAATCTTTCAGAAAGGAGTACTTGATTGGCGTAGCCGTGACGGCGCTCCATGCATCCGGGCAGGAGCAGCTGATTTTGCTGGACAAGGACGATCTGCCGGACGAACATATGGCCAGGTAAGGCTTAAAAATTCCCTAAAAACCTTTTTTTAGGGTAAAAGCCATGTTCGACGCGCGCCCCGTGTGGCCGGCAGATGAAGTGCCCGTATATTTGGAGGATGTTTTCCCCGATAGGTATAAAATTCCCGGCAAACAGTAATCCGTTATTTAGACAAAAAATGGAAGAATTCATCTTCGACAGCCTCGAGCGCGGAGAAGACGACAAGGGACGCCCGATCTACGGCGGCGTCATCGACCCGGACATTTGAAGACAAAACCCGAAACCACGATAGAAATCTTGACTTTTTTATGCATTTAATCTATTTTTACGTTGTGATCTTGGCGCATAAAGTGTATTCGAGAACAACGTTTATTTAGCAACAACTGCAAGGTGCAAAATAACAATATGTACAAAAATGCATTTCATTTCGAGAGTTCGGTTTCGATCTTGCCGGCCTTGTCGATCAATTCATGCAGCATCGGAAGGTACTTCTCGCAGTGGGCCTTCAGACGATCGGCCGTCGACTCGACATCGGACACGATATTCTGCGCATCGGCCAGCTTTTCGGATTGTGCCGCCTTGGTGAGACGTCCCGTGCCAGCCTTCACCACCTTTTCCAAAACCTCATCGAGATCCTTGTGCAGCTGGGCGAGCTTTGCGCGCAAACCGCTCACGTCCTCCTTGTATTTTTTGTTGGCCACTAGCCGCAGCTCATCCGCCTTCATGACCACCAACGAGCCGACGGCGTGGTTCAAGTGGATTCTAGAAAAGCACAGTGGGCACGCGATTTTCGTGCAATCGAGGCAGAACAAGAGGTTCTCGACGAGCTTCCTGGCCGTGCAGTGACAGCAGCTTTTGAAAAGTCCACGGCGCTCGGCATCACGTTTGAATTCATTGTCCTGCAGCCAATCAACTTCCTTCAGCTTCTCAGCCTGGTCGTAGCGCTTCGAAAGGACGTCGAGCTGCTTCTCCCGCGCCTCGTCCAGCCTCTTCTGGTTGTTCAGCGCCTCCAGACGCTTGGCCGCATCACGAATTTCGCGCTGCAATTCCTCGTCGTAGTAATTGAAGAAGGCGGCGAGGCTTTTGTCGAGGCGAGAGCGCTCCTTATCCACCGGCGCATCACATGCCGAGCATCTATGGCCAACGACGCAGGCGGCAAAGCAGTCCTCGCAAAAGTAATGGCCACAGGTGACGATGTAGGCCTTCCAGTCGCTGTTTGGCACCATCACCGTGTTGCACTTGATACACTGAGGGCCGTTGAGGGTTCCTTGGCACGTGTAGGTCTGCTCGGCGCGGTGGAAGGCGCGCTGGTTGAGGAACTTGATGAGGCCGAGGAGGGGCACTTTCCGCGGGTCCTTCATGCAGCTCGAGCAGGCGACGCGTCCGGTGACCGGGGAATGGACGGGCGTGTGCGGCATGTTCAGCTCGCGATGGAAGGGCTTGTGGCAGTCGCCACAGTTGAAGTAGTCGAGGAACATCGCTTGAATCTGGAAAAGAGAATTTTTTTTTAGAACAGAAAAAGGAATGGATATAAAGAATAAAAGTTTTTCCTAGAAACCCCATCCAATTCCGAAAATCATCCGAATTTTCGAAAATTTTCAACTGTACGCATGCTCCGGATGATGCAATTCGGAATTTGGAACGCTACGTAGCTACAAAAAGTGTCTCTTCACTTTTCGCTTCACTTTCACTTCACATTCACTTTTCGCCCGAATTGGTGTCGATCCCCTTTTGGAAGGGGCCATCAACAAATTGAAAAATAGCCAGCAGGGCGGAGAGTGCGCGACGTTTTGAAATGATTCGCTGTGCTTCGAAAAGTACTACCTAATCCGCACTGTCAAATAGTTAGAATTCGTTTCGTGGCAACTTTTGAGAAGCATCAAAAGAAAATAACAAAATTTGCGCGCTAGAAGCGGTGCGTAAGGTTTTTATAACCGTTTCGGCATTCTTCCCGCGCTTCCGAGACCTGTACTAATTATTGCCTTGATTTTGAACATCCCCCGCGGGTTTTGGCTAAAAAATTGGGACCATGACAGTTGAGCAACGACGTTTGAGCAACTTTTGAAAAGAGTGCGGAGGGAGGAGAGAGCCCAGACGGGCAGACTGTCTGGACTCTCGCCTCTCTCCGCACTCTTTTCAAAAGTTGCTCAAACGTCGTTGCTCAACTGTCATGGTCCCAAAAAATTGATAAAATTTGCGATTACGATTTAGTTGCAATTGGAGAAACGCCCCGCTTTCCGTCGTCTTTCCCTTCGAAGAACAAAGCTATTCATTTTCAATATTGGGCGTCGGAAAATGAAATTTTGGCATTTTCTATATAGATTTAGTTGCTGTTGTCTTTCTTGCAGTTTCGCGCTAAGAACCAAGCTATTGGTTTTCAATATTGGCTGCCCGCTTAAAGATAAAATCCTGCATTTTTCTATCGCTATTTATTTGCAGTTCTCTTTCCTCCAGTTTCGCGCTATTTTGCTCTATGAACGCTTCTTTTAATGGTCACATTTCCAGCCAGCATGGCCGACGAAGCAGAAGCGCAGCCGATGGAGGTGCAGGACGTCAAGGCGGAACGCGATGAAGAAGCGATTGTAAGCACCGCTTTGAGCTTTCTAATTTTTAATTATGCTCATTTCGTTATTAGTCGAAGGGTCTACATTTTTCGTCGATTTGGCCTGAAAAATTAGACAAAAACCTAGGCATTTATCAGATTCTCTAAATTGCGATAGGCCAAATGTATTTATCTTGTCGGTTTGGGGAGAAATTTTATTAGCGCATCGGTTGGTCTTATTCAATTAGATAATCTAGGCGGGTTTTTCGGACGATGATTCTATTTTATTTTGACATTTACCTTTCATTTAGCCGCCGGCCGCCGACGATGAGCGAGCAGCCGAGAGCGCGCCCGCTGACACTGATGGCGAGCTAAAGGAGGAGCCCCAACCGCCGCAGGACGCCGACAGCACCACGTACACCTTCGAGTTGCTACATTGTATTTTTCGTTTCAGCACGAAAGACCAGGAGTCCGCCAGCCAGCCGGCCGTCGCGGTGGTCGCTGCGGCCGCTCAAGCTCCGCCGATCCCCACCCGCCAATACCTCGACCACACCGTTGTGCCGATTCTGATGGAAGGACTAGGTGTGTTTGCATTTTGGTTCCATTATCGCTTCGCCAAATCGGGGTGGGCCATTTTTGCCTATTAGATCACCCTAACTGGGTTATTGAGTAATCGCGGGGTGATCTTTGATTTTTTCGAACCAAAATGACCCAAACATCGACATTTTCAAACTTTCTAAAAAAAAATTTCGGCTTTAGATATGGTTAAAACCTACTAAAAACGAAAAGCTGATCCCCGCGATTACTCAAGTACCCGATTTAGCTAAACTTACCTTATTTCAAACAGAAAATATTTAAAAACCTAGCAACTTATTCGAAAAACATTAATTTTCGTATAGGACTCTACGTTTTCGTGGTTTTCAATAACATTTTGGGCAATCTTCACGTGTAGGAATAGCCAAAAAATGATTTTTCTTTTTGAAAATTACGATAATTTCTTCAGTTCATCTTTTTATTTAAAAATACGAACATAAGGAAACCTAGGGGGGCTTCTTCTATAGGTCCGTTACACCCACGAGTGGTTGAATTCCCGCCCCGCTGTCGCGTTGTTCCGTGCGGTGTTTACATCGCGTGTCCCTTTCGTAGAAATTTCATAAGAACTGGTGTGATGAATCACAATCCGCTGTGATTTTGTAGAGTATCACATCAGCAATATTTTCCTTGCCTTGGCGGGCTTTTGTTATGTAGTAACTAACCCTTTTAGTTAAAGAAAACGAAGCCGGTTTATGATTTTTGGGTTTGAGGGCTCAATGAAATGTTTTTCTTGCATTTTTTCGTTAGAGCTGTTCCAGGGTTTGAATTTGATATGTACTAGTGCATTATAAAAGCATGCAGTAATTTTTCAATCTTTTGGTCTACTCTATGGTGGGGGGTTGTCCACTTTTGTCCATAAGTCTGGTGGCAGTATTCGCACTTTATTATTGTTTACCAATTTCAATTTCAATTTTCAGGCGCCCTGGCGAAGGCGAGGCCTCAAGACCCGGTGAAGTTCCTCGCCGAGTTCCTCATCCGCGAGAAGCCCCGCTTCGCCCCCAGCGTCCCGGTGTCGAATTGAAGCCACAAATTATCTTACCGTATCTCTCCCCCGTAATTTTTTCATTTTGCTAAGCGTTTGTCTCGCTAAATTTTCCTCACCTTCGCCTGATGTTGTAAATTTCACATTGTTTCCCTTTCCGCCGCTGTTCGTTTTTCAATAAATATTATAAACAAAAGTGTGAGAAGATATTTCAGTTTCGTTAAGATATCGAACGAATTCTCGCAGTTTTTGAGGCCTTTTTCGTTAGAGATTTGTCATTACTTTCAAGAAGTTCGGAATTCGTTTTAACGAAGGACTAAAATAGAATTCTTTTGGCGTAGTTTAGCATTCTTTCCAGGACCATGTCGGACAACGGCGCCAAAATCGCCGCGAAGCGCGCCGAAATTGAAAAACGGGCAAAGGTAGTCCAATCTTTTTCTGAAACAAATCTTTCTTTAGGGCGGTGGCGGCTTCTTCGGCAAGCTGTTCGGCGGTGGAGGTGGCGGCGATCTCGCGCAGGAGTACATTTCGGTAAGAAATCACGTTTTTGCCTTTTTCGGGTTAAGAATTTAGGTAAAATCCGGTTTTCTTTCCTATATTTGCTATGAAATTAGCGAAACAACGTTTAATAAATAGGGAAACAGCGTTATCGTGCTCCAATTCCCTGATCTTTTTCGCCAATATTTCCATGGCAGAATGAAGATGCTGGCGAATCCACTCGAGCTGGCCCAACTGAAGATGGTGAACCCGAGGAGCGATACTCGGCCACGGTATGGTGCGATTTCCCGGGCTGCGAGGAGGAATTCATCAACATTCTCGAGTACGAGGAACACTACGCCCGTCGGCACACAAATCAGTGCTCCCTGTGCGACAGATCGTTCGCCACGGACACCCATCTCGAGATCCACAACGACGAGCACCACTCCTCGCTCTTCCAATTGAAGCTGGCCTCTCGGCCTGGCGAGCCGCACTTCGTCTGCTATTCCCCGGGCTGTGCGCAGCGATTTTTCACCGCTAAAGAGCGAAATCTGCACGCCTACGAGGAACACGAAATCGAGGCGCCGGAATTAATGGAAGAGCGGAGAAAAATGCGGCGTCGCGTTGACCATGAAGCGGAGCGACTCGGCGAGATGATGCTATCGAAAAGTCGCCAGGGACCGACGAATTATCGATTTTTGGATGAATGATGCGCACGTTGAAAAGAATAAATACATTTTGGAAGCTTTCTCGTGGGAGTTTTTTTGCAAAATAGCATTAAAAACAGGAAAAAGCTAAAAATTAAAACATCAGTGAATTGAAATATCGATCGGAAAACGAAAAACGTTGCAAGGTCTTGTTAGAGTCAGATATAGCTTTTGCCTCATTTCTAATCTCTTTTTTCCAGCTGGGCAACCTGTGCAAGATGGACAAGCTGTGGAACGAGGCCGGCCAGGCATTCGAGAACGCCGCCGACCGCTATCGCCAGCAGGTAATACCGATTCTTGATTAAAATTTTATTCTTTTCAGGGCGATTCCCAGCACGACTGCGCCACGCAATTCTCGGAGGCGGCGAATTGCTACCGGAAAGTGGACCCGAATGTGGGTTTGCCTCTTTTTAGATTTGGATGAAAGAACCTTTCCAGAAAGCCGTCGCCTGCCTGCAACGATCCGCCGAAATCTACACGGACATGGGCCGCTTTACGATGGCCGCCAAGATTCATGTGTCGATGGGCGAATTGTGGGTAACGCTAACTTTTCTAACGAGGAGTTGGGCGGACTGACTTTTCTAACTTTTTGGGCTGTCATGGAAGACTTACACTTTTGGATCGCGCTTGAAATTCTGAAACGGTCCCATCTTAGAAAAATTGCTGAACGATAACGGGCTGAAATTGGCTCAAAAAATAGCTTTCAAAGGGCGCATTTTGCTGATTTCCCGTACGCTCAAAAAAAGCAGGACTTCGAGAAACTTTTCAGAATTTTCAGATTTCGGAAATCGTTTTCGTTCATGAATTTCTTTGAAAGATGGGACTTCTTCAGGATATCAAGACTATCAAATTATCTATATCACTTCGCAAAATTCCAAAGTCGTCTAAAAATCCCTCCTTGTGAAAATGTTTGGTTTTCATTTTTTTATTCGCAAGCTAAAATTCCTGTTTAGATACGAGAACGAGCTGGCCGATCCGACGAACTGCATCACGCACTATCAACGCGCCGCCGACTACTACAACGGCGAGGAGAGCAAGAGCTCGGCGAACAAGTGCCTCGAGAAGGTGGCACAGCACCACGCTGAACTTGAGCACTGGAAGGAGGCGGTTAATGTGGGTTTGGCGTTGTTTTGGAAGTCGCAAAATGCTTCAAATGTGCGTTTTGTACAATATTTCGATATAATATATGAGAGTATTGTGAGTTTCGACATATCGTAGTTAAAAAATTGTAACAACGGATTTGCCGCATTTTTATTTTCTAAATTCTGAACGTAAATCAATTTACCCGGATTTCCCATCCCCTTTTTCAGATCTACGAGCAAATCGCCTTCTGGACGGCCGACCATCCGACGCTGAAATTCGGGGCAAAGAACCACTTCTTCAAGGCGCTGCTGTGCTGCTTGAACAAGGATCCGGTAGGGCGGTTTTTTATATCTAGGATCTAAATCTGCTTTTTCAGTTGGACACGGCGATCGCGCTCAAAAAGTACGAGGACGCCTACCCAAGCTTCACCGATGCACGGGAGGCCAAGCTGATTCGGGTTTGATCACCGCCTTTGAGAATTCTCGTTTTTTTAGGAAATACTCGCCGCCATCGAGGCCCAAAACGAGGACGACTTCACGGTGGCCGTCGCCAGTTTTGACCGCATCTCCAAGCTGGACAATTGGCAGACCGGGCTGCTTGTTAAGGTATATTTTCGGCTACAGGAAGCTCAGGAAGGTGCTATTTGAGCGCTTCTTTGCGTTAGAAACGGACAGTGCTTCGTTTTTTTTACCTGATAACGTTAGTAGTGTAATGTCACAGATGTTGGTAGAGCCCTTTCAAAAAAGACCAAACGATGATGGCCTGGGAGGAAATTCGCGTGAATCGGTCTATCGTTTTCATTTTTGGCGATTTCCGTGTCCGTACAGCATTTTTTTTGAATAGGCAAGGGACTTGTTCAAAATTTCAAGCTCTATCGAATGGCTGTTTCACATAAAAAACCCGTTATCTCCTGAAAACGACGCCCAGTTAGAGCGGGTGACGGCCAGTTCGCCTAAATCCGTTTCGTCTAAACCCGTTTCGCCTAAAACCCGTTTCGCCTAAAACCCGTTTCGCCTAAATCCCGTTTCGCCATTTTCAGTTTTCAATGCTGTATTTTTGACCGATTTTCGATCCTTTTTGTCGTAAATTCAACTATGAAAATGGCCAAAACTTTAGGCGAAATGGGTTTTAGGCGGAACGGGATTTAGGCGAAACGGGTTTTAGGCGAAACGGGTTTTAGGCGATATGGGTTTTAGGCGATATGGGTTTAGGCGATACGGGTTTAGGCAAAACGGATTTAGGCGAAGTGACCGGAATTCGTTAGAGCAAGAATTTGTACTGGACTGTTAGCGGGGGAGGGGGTGTTTTTCCGTCCATACCGAGATGTTAATAATGAATAATGTATTTTTATTTTTTCGTATTTACAAAAATCTTTGTTTATTGCAGTTATTACAGATTGCAGTTGTTTTATAACAGTTTTTGGAAATTTTTGGCCCTTTTTCGATTGGTTCTTCTTGCTTGCACCTAAAAGTCGAAAATTTTTATAGTTTTCGTAAGGTTTCATAACTAAAAACTGTTTAGAATGCTATCAAAATGGGGTTGAGGTTACTTCAAAAGGTTACTCTCCAGTCCCTTCGGGTTTCCTATGGTTTTTGCCGAGCGGCGCACGATGCTACTCTATCGCGTAATCGATTACGAGCCATTCGCATCGGCGTGCGCGTTGCGTGTCCGCTGACACGTGCGCGGAAAAATCCTGATAGCAAAAAAAATCCATATTCATGTCGTGGTTTTATTTATTTTATTTCAGGTGAAGCGCCGCATCACGCAGGGCGAGGACGAGGACGATCTGCGCTAAAAACTGAATTCTCCACCCCTCTGCTTTTCGCCCCTACTTTCATATTTCAAGAAGTTTCCTTTTTTTTCTGTTTGTAGGATCCATAATTGCGAATTTTAAAGTGATGTTCTTCTTTTCTTTTCGTTTTCTTGTGATCCTTCGATTTGCCTGTGATTTGCTTTCGATTAACCCGAAATTTGATGTGGTGCCCGCCGCTGTGTGTGTCATTTAGTGTAGTTCGCATAAATATCGGCATTTATTATTACGCTTTGAAAGTTTTTGATGGGCTTTATTGGTATTTTTGTGGCTTTTGTTATTGCTATTAGACGAACGAAGGCTTATTTTGCTAGTTTTGGCAAATTAAAATCGATGGACTTTCTCTGCTCTAGTTTTACCGTATTTTCTCTTTCCCCAAGAATCCCTGTCCGCTCGCCGAACGATTTTGCAAAAATTATGTTCGCTGAGGGAAAGCGAATTCGTGCAATCTGGAATATGCGGGTACCAGTCGGGGTTTGAAACGTGCAATTTTAACAATGGCCTTTCGCGGCTTGTCGATACCTCTCTCTCTATCTCCCTCTCTCTCCCTCTCTCGCTCCCCTCTCTCTCTCTCTCTCTCTCTCTCTCTCTCTCTCTCTCTTTCTTGTCTTATTTCTGTCGGTAAGCCTAATTTTAGCTTTTCTTGCGTCCAAATATTCGGCAAACCCTCGCACCTACAGAAATGACATCCTGATCCTCTCATCATCTTCAGGTGCCCGGTTTTGCAGGCCGGTTCTCTCTCCCTCTCTCTCTCTCCCTCTCTCTCTCTCTCTCTCTCTTCCCAATTGCGCAGACGCTGACTAAATCCTCAGAGCTACGTTGAATATCGTCGAAAATCCCCCCTGAAATCCCCCGACTGCGCGTTGGCCAAAGGGCACCGGGCGACGGCGTGAAAAATAGCGAAAAGCGTCGATGGGATAAATACGGAAAGCGGCTGGTATTTATGCCTGGATGTGGGCCCTTCTTTTACATTTCGTCTTCATTTTTATTTGGCTTTTTAGCTGTTACTATATTTGAGAAAGTTCTAGAAAGTTGCGTAATTGAATTCACGAGGTTTTCTACCAGTTTAAATACCATTTTAAGAAGCGGCTATAGAGTTTGAATTCGATGAAATTAATTTAGACATAATAAAATTTTTGTACCATTTCCTTTCCAAGCCTGATTGAATTTTTCTGAAGCCTAGATGGGAAATTTCGGCATGCGATTATTTGGAGCCTCGTCGAGCTGCCCTGGCTTTTGGTCGAAACATATAAATCTAATCAGAAAGTAAAAGTGCTTTTGAAAAAACATTTCGATATTTTTTTATTATATATCGCTAGCGTCTTAAAGGCAAAAAATGCATTTCGCTTTTCAACAAATAGGTTCGATTGCTGAAACTAGAAATTCCGCTTCTTAGCCCCCGTTAAAGTGAATTTCGAGTTCCGTTGCCGCAAAAAAAGGTTATTTTTGAAAATACTTGCCTTGAAAACCGATCTGGCTATATCGGGCTGGTTGACGATCTACTGGCCCGGAAAGCCCGGAAATTGGCAATTTTGCCCAAAAACGGCAAGCGAGCAGAAATCATTTAGGAAAAAATGATCCCATGAAGTTCTCGTGCAGTGATTTTTCGGGATTTTCGAAAAAACTAGGCCTGATAAAAGGCGTGTTTCAGAATTTTGCTGGCTAACGGGTGTTAGATTTACCCCTGATGTCAGTCACTGTTCAAAGTCGTGAATATTATAAACTTCGTTTCCCGATAGCCAAGTGGTTAGCGGCCTCGTTTCCCAGGCGCAAGGACCGGGTTCGAACCCCGGCCTGGGCAGGCTTTTTGCTTTTTGGTCAGCAGCTTGACTGCCGCATAGTTAGCCGGGAAACATTTTTTCCATTATTTTAGCCTAATTTTAGGGCTAGAAATCGGTTTCGATGCAAAAAGATAATTTGTCGCGATAGCCTAGTGGTTAGTGCTCTTGCCTGTCAATCTCGGGGTCGGGGTTCGATTCCCGACCGTGACAAGCTTTTTGCTTTTGGTCAGGATGCTATTTGCAGTACAGTTAGGCCGAAAACAACTTGGAAGATGTTTTCGAGTCGTTTCCGAGAGAGAAATCGACATCTCCGTATTTTTTGCCAGGGTCTAGAGCTAAAGAATAATATTTTTTCGCCGATCCCTTGCCAGCTACGGTAGCTAAATCCGGGCACCTCGATGAACTCATTTGCGCGTCAATCCGCCGGGGGGGACCCATCCGCGTACACAGCACTCCTATGGACGGGGCGCAACGGATAAAGGAGTGTGACGGAATCCGGGGCGATTTCGTTCGTCTTCTGGATTATTCTTCGCCCCTCACCCCATCTTTTGTTGTCAAGGGGGATTAGTGAAGCCCCTTTTTTCAGCGTATTTCTGGGCGGGGCCCGCCCTATTTATTGTGTCTGCGCCCCCCGGGGGGAATAACATTCCTCAAGAGTCTCTCGATACCGCTCACCTTCTACAGTAATCCAGCGCAGCATTTCGTATTTTACGCTACTGTACTATCTACAGATACGGTACCGCTATTGTAATACCATAAAATTCATCTCGCCAACAGTAATCCAAAGCAATTTGTCGTTTCTCCCGAAAATCTACCAATTCCATTCCTGTACTAATTACACCCGACTACCGTACCCAAACGTATTTTATTTACGAAACTGTACTAAATACATCCTGTAGAAAGGACTGCTTTCCACAGTACTCCCATATTCCGAACTACCGTAACCTCGGCTACAGTAAACCTACGGAAGTTTGCGTTATTTACGCTAGAACCGAATTCCGTTACTGTACGCTCTACAGCTACCGTATTCTCGGCTGCAGTAAACTTACGGAATTTGGTGTATTTGTTTCACTAATTCCGCTACCGTACTGACTACATCCGACTACCGTACAGAGAAGCACTTCGTACTTGCCGAGAATTTGCTATTTACGCAGCAATATTTTCTGTAAATACCGTATTAATATTCGCCTACCGTAAGACCGTACTACCTTACCCCACGCGGCTACCGTAATCCAGCCATAATAATAATGGTTTCCCGACTAAATTTTGCCAAACTCTATATGAGTCTGATGAGGAGGAGGTAAGTACGAAAGTGAAAAAATAATCGTAATAAAGAAATAAGGTAGTCGACTAAAAGCTGTACCAGGGCCCTTGGGCTCGTTAAAATTATGTGTTTCATAGAAAAATACGACCAAAGAACGGTTTGTTTAATGAGTGCCACCTCCCTCTCGTCTTCCTAAATTGCAATAATTTCTAATTTTTATAAATGCGTATTCGCGATTTAATTTTTAGCTAAACTTAAAAGCGGAAACATTAAATCTGAAATTTAATTCAATTCCGATTTCTTTTGATATACGGATTTCTCAAATTCCAAACATTCAAATTTAACAAAAAAATTTAAATTAAAGTATTTCACAAAAAAATATCATCAGCCGGCGCGATATCCGGTTAATTCTTGGCCATGGTTCTTGTGACTCACAATAAAATTAGTTGCTGGCACATTATCGGGGGGACGAACTTTTGCGTAATATCTGATTTTTATAATAAAAATAAGATAAGGGTTTTTAAGCTGCATTTAACTATTCCTAAATGTGTTACATAGGATTTTTAACCGCCGCTAAATTTTTCGTTTTAGAAAGAAGATGTGCACGCTGTATGAGGACGATTTCGTGTCACTAAACGAGTACACGCTTACCGTACGCAACTACCATTTCCCCAGCAAGCGCGATAGGAAAATACCGGTCAGTTCTTTGGCCGTATTGTCAATTTAACGCTTATATAAGATATCTTTAAATCTTGAAACATTTCTTTAATTTAATGTTTTTTGGTAATTTGAATTTATTGTGCAAAATAAACCCAAATTTTTCTAATTTTATGGAAGAAAAACCAGACAATTCAACTAAGAAAAAATAAAATGGAAAAATATAAACAAAAATTAATCATTAAACACAAAAGCTAATAAAATTAAAAATATTAAATTCATTAGAATCGCATGTTTAACTAGAATTCATCTAGCCGATAAAAGCACGCAATTTTCAGCGAGGACTTTAAATTCGAAAATTATTTAACGAACATAAAGTTAACTAACTTAATTAAAAATTAATTAATTAATTAAAAACTAAATTAGTCAATAAAATTAAAATTTTGCAACCGATCAATTTATAATCAACTAGAAAACGATCCTTAACTTTAATTTAGGTAATCGGTTTTTCAAGCAATTCACAGCAACCAACTATTATTATTAACAGATTGACTCGAGATCCTTTTATTCTTGAAACATTTTCACAAATCGCGTTTTTAATTTAGCTAAAACGGTTTAAATCCTTGGAAAACAAATTTAACAAAACTTTAACAATCGAAATTTACGAAATGGATTTCATAACGTGTTGTGACTAAAAATCATCGTAGCCGATGAAATAACTCAATTTTCAGCGATACCTTGAGTGAAAACCGACGCGAGAACTGAAGTTTCCGAATTTTAATTTAAAACTTTTAGCCATGAAACATTTTAAAAGTTCCACTCAAAATGGCTTTAAAAACAAAATTAATAAAGATAGTGATAGAAATAGACATAGAAACAAAAATACGAAGAAATTATCAATTTAACGATGACTTAAGCTACCCGGAATCATGAAACATTTATAAAGACGGCGTTTAGAAAATTAAACGAATTATGAATTTCTACGTGAAAAGAAGATCAATAGACGGAGAAACATTGACGTTTATTAAAATCGGGGTTGTGGCTAAAATTCCGCTTATCCGATCAACGGCGATACGCTTTTGTCGCGAAACATTTTTGAAAAATTCGGGCGGTCAGATTAAATTGCTTTAAAACAAAAATAAATTTAAAATTCACTATAAACCGTTTTTAATTAGAAAAAAAAATTCAATTTGTTTTGCTTGTGATAAATAGCGACAGATTTTTGAGGAAGCGTTTGACGGCGAATTGACAACCTCATATTAGCGACGGAGCTTTTTAACCTTGAAACATTTTAAAAATGCATTTGACATTCTAAAAAAATTGCAAAAATAAAATAAATTATCGTACATTTTTTGCATTTATATTTATTTTTAATCTGTTTTGCAATTAATTAATAACGCTTTTTCAGGCTGACCAGATTACAGTGGTGTACTTTGAGGACCAGGACACTTCCAAGTACAGCACGACTCGAACGTGGGGCAAGGCCGTCAACTCGATTTGGTGGGCCTTCGACTTGAAGAGGTGAGCGCTGTCTTGAACGTTATAAAAGACCATTTAAAAATTTATTATCTAGTTTTATTCATTTTAAATTATCAATTTTATTAAAAACGTACACCAAATTTGGTTAAAAAATAGGTGAACTTCACGGAAAAATGACTTGTAAAATTCTTTGTGTTTTTTTGTTGTTTCAATCAACTAAAAAAGGATGGTGCCTTAAGAGCGAATCCTTAAAACATTCATTAATTTTTTCGGTGGGAAGTAAAAGCAGTTTTAATTCAATTGTTATAAAAAGCTAAAAAAATAGTGAAAACTGTCAAAAGCAATTTTTTAGAAGGAACTTTAAGGAGGCAAGGAGTAATTTCCAAAGAATTCCCAACTATCGACAATGCTTAGAAACACATGACACACGAGAATCATAATAACAGAAAAACCATTTGTTATTATTGTTATTATTATAGTACCTAATTTCATCTTCATGTTTTTCATTATCAGCACCAAATGGATATTGATGCGCAAATCTAACGATACTTGCGGGAATTCGGCGAAACAGCTTTTTTTAATTCGCTAAGTTATTTTTAAAGTTCATGATAGAAAAGCGTGAGTTTCACCCAGTATGAAAATACCGACACCGGTTCGGTCATTAATAGCGCGAATTTATCCATCTCTCTCTCATATTTCCCTGTGTCTCTCTCTCTTTCTCTCTCTCTCACTCTCTCTCTATCCTTCGCTCTCTCTCTATCCTTCGCTCTCTCTCTATCCTTCGCTCTCTCTCTCTCTCTCTCTCTCTCTCTCTATCTCTCTCTCTCTCTCTTACTCTCTCTCATTCACTTCTTTACTGTCTCTCTCTGTCTATCACTCTCTCTCCCTCTCTCTCGCGGTTTTTCAAAGGCAGAGTACCCCCATCGAAAAGTGCAACCCAATGCCCTACGCATCCTATTTTCCCAATAATAGAAATCCTATTTTTATTTTCTACCCACAAATGAGTAGTACTAATCATAACACATATAGCGAAATAGGAAACGAGTTTTTCTAAGATGCTAAAAATCCATTTTTTTGCTTAAAAAAAATGTTACATCTGATGAGCTTGTTCCGCTGCGTTTTGGAACCATTAATTTTGTTATCAGAGCGGCGACCCACGCATCATTTTTTATCCACTAATTTTACCTTTCAAAAAATTATGCTGCACTTCCTAGCCCGGTTTCATAGAACTCTTTCGATTGTACTGTCGCCCATTGAGCCATATTTTTCGTTATGCTTTTTATAAAATAGCATCTTTCGCATTAGCGGGGGGAGGGAATAGAATTCTTCGCGATAAGCCCAGAGAAGCCTAATAACGTAATAGTAATAATTTTAATCCTGTTTTCAGTAAAATTTAACCGTATCTTCAGTACAACGTCTTCTAAACGGCTTTAAAAGGTTCTTGAATAATTGGAAATATTGGTTGAAAATCGGCCATTTTTTGGAGGTAGAGCATTATTTTTTTGTATTAAAAAAAATGAATTTAAATGAATTCTAAGCAGTTGCATTAAAATGCAACTTCGCGTTTAGGAATGGTAAAAATCAGCTTAGAAACATTTCCTCTTTTTATATTTGAAAAATTTGATCCTTAGAAATAATATTGCAACCCCCGATAATGCGAAAGTACATAAAGTCAATTTGATAGTTTTTCGCATCATAGAGGCGAAATTTTTGTTTCAAAAATAATGTTTCAATCAAGTCTAACTTTTCATGCAAAGGCCGCATTCCAGCGCCCAAGGCCCGCGAAGCGGGTTTTGGGCGCTGGTTACAATATAAATAGATGAAGTGTTTGTAGGTTGCTTTTTACTTTTGTAAACATCGGCACGTTAAAAAAAACGAATATCTTAATAATACGAAAAAAACGATCCTTGCACAAAAATGCCGCTTTTCGACCAAAATCGCTAATTTTTAAAATTTGAAAGCGTTTTTAGATAGTTTTGCCACTTTCCTTATCATAATTTTTACTAAAAACAGCATTAAATCTATACTATTACATTACTAGGCATTTCTGGACTTCTGGAAACCCCAACCCCCCCCGATAATGCAGAAGAACCTAATTTGGCTATTTGGATATTTTATTATTTTCCGTTGTAATAATAGTGAGATTGGGTGTCCTTTCCATCATTTTCCTCCGCCAGTCATCGGCAATAATTTCCTATGGTTTCCGGGAAAATAGGAGAAAAAGTGTGTTTGGGGCTTCACACCCATCCCCCCAGTCAGGAAATGCGTCAAGAAGTATACTACGGAAAACAGATCATTTTTCGGGTCGCCGACCCACCGGAAATTGGGGTTTTTTTAGGGATTTTTGTGGCGTGAGAGCCGTGATTTTTGGTCGGCGAAATGGTCACGGAAAATATAATAAAATGATTTAAAATAAATTTATACGGTTATGAAAATTTTATACATAATAGTGTAAAATAATAATCGACGATTTAAGTACAGAAATTGGGATTTATAGGGTTTCAAAAAGAAATTTATAGGATTACAAGAATTTAAATTAAGAGATAGATCGAAATAGAAAGATTAATAAATAAGGAAACCCGATGACGAACACAGTCTAGATAAATAAAGATAAAAATCCCTGATAAAATTGGGAATTTTTTAGGAATTTTGTTGCAATGAAAGTGTTGATTTTGGCCATCGAAAATGCATATTTCAAAACATATCTCAATAAAATGAATGGAAAATGGAAAAATGATAAAAGGCAATAAGAAGAATATCTGAATTGAGAAAGAAGAAAATGATGAATAATTCCATAATAACTTATAAAAATTAAACTATATTCGAAGCGTCACTTAATTTAGTTTAATTTAAACTCCTTAAACCGGTACAAATTTAAAAATTAAACTTTTGGTCGAAATTGGCCCATTCGGTCGATAACTAGGCGTAAAAAATAAATGTATCAATTGCCTAGCCGGTGCAACGTTTTCTGATATCTACAATAAGCTTTTGAGTTTAATTCCGAACTTATAATATTTTTTTTGTCAATTATAATTCCGCAATTTGTAGCGTTTTTGACGTTTAGCAATAGTAAAAACAGTTTAGAAAAATTTCCTCTACTTGGATTAGAAAAATACACTAAAGAAAAGAAGTTTTTTCTTTTTATTTTCATTATGAGTTGTATTTTACAATATTTTAGACAAATTTATGAAACAGATCTTTTGGATGAAAACAACTGTAATTTTTAGCATAGTATAGAAATAGTGAATAATTTAAATCTAAAAATTAAAAGCTCAATAAAATTAGAAAATTACGAATTACGAAATTTAAACTTATGAAAAAATAAAATTTCGATTTGCAGGGAACTACACAACATTCCGGGCGTACACTCGCATCGGGCGAATGTTGTCGTTGAGATTGGCGGACAGGATGTGAAGATTGGGTTCTCGGTGGCGGATATTGATGCTTTTATGGAGGCGATGAGGGGACTTCTCGACTACCATGTCATCATCGTCAATTCCATCAATTTGTGAGGCAGTTAGAAGCTCTGAATTCTATTTTTCTAAGCCTGAAAAATTGAAAAACATTTTTCTCCATGGCTTCCTTAATTTTTTACGAGTGACTTCTGAGGTGAATTTGGTAAAAAAACGCAGAGATCCATGGTGTTTTTGACTAATTCAGCTTTTAAAAATTCGGAAAAGTCAAGTTTCATGAAACATTTCATTTTATCGCCCAGCGTCTGAATTTTCACGGGTGATCTTTCAGGTGAATGGCCAAAAATCGGAGATCCATGTGTTTCCCTCGGAATTAGACTTTTAAAAAACTCCGAGAACGCCAGTTTCATTGAAAGATGATTGTATTTCTCCCTGGTTTCCTAGATTTCTAAAAGTGGTTCTGAATAGGGGTACAAACTGAAGAACCATGATGTGTGACTTCGAGATTAGCTCTTTAAAAATTCGAAAAAGTCTAAATTTACTGAAACATTTTTTTGTTTTATTCTTTACCCTATTTTTGGTGATATTTATTTTTAGTTCAACAGGAGGGAGGAATATAATAGTCTTTTAAAAATTTGGCAAAAATCTAAATTTACTGAAACATTTTTCTTTTTCTCCGTCGCTTCTTCCATGTTTGAGGGTGATTTTGAGGTGAACCAGGCTAAAAAGCGGATCGAATTGTTGTGGCGGAATTAGGCCCTTTAAAAGTTGGAGAAGACCTCAAACTTATTGAAACATTACCTGTTTCTTTGTTTTTCATTATTTCTGTATTTTCATAGTCATTAAAAACGTTCCGTTTTTCAAATTATGTGTTTCATCAAAGCACAATCGCATATTTGACCGGCATTGCTAATATTGGTTTATTGGCCTGACGAAAAATTTACAGACCCTGTAAATTAGAAATAGCTAATCAAATTTTTCTTTCTCGTCAAAGAAAAATTGCGCTGAGTCCCAATTTCCTCAAAAATCTCCGCTAGCACACACCATGCATACCGCTTCCTTCGATTCAGATTTCTCAAAGGATCTCTGCTAGCCAAATTCCTAAAGGATCTCTGCTGGACTGCCTGACCCCTGAATTCCCAAAGGAATTCTGCTAGCTTACCTGACCCTTGAATTGATAGAGAATATCTGCTAGCCTGCTCTAACTCAAAAAATCCCAAAGGATCTCTGCTTGCCTGCCTGGCCCATTTTCCGAAAGAATCTATGCTAGCTTAGCATAAGCCAAAAAAATTCCTAAAGGAGCGCTGCTGGCCTACTTTCCAAAGTTCCAAAAGAATCTCTGCTAGCCCACCTCAATCTCAAACTCCCCAAAGCATCTCTGCTCGATGGCCTGACCTCTTTCCGCAAGGATCTCTGCTAGCCTGCCCTAATCGAAAAATTCCAAAGGATCTCTGCTTGTTGGTGCCGCTCCATTTCCCAAAGGATCTCTGTTAGTTCCACTCGAATCTATTCTAGTCTTTATTATTTTTTTTGCGGATTAAAGGTGTTTTGAAGGCTGAAAAGGACTCATAAAAATCCTCCCCCACCCACGGAAAATCCCAGAAAATCCCTAATCCCCCTTTTATCAGTTTTTATTGCATATATTTCTGTGTTGTCTCTCTCTCTCTCTCTCTCTCTCTCTCTCTCTCTCTCTCTCTATCTCTATCTCGCTCTCTCGCCCTCTTTTCTCATGTGATTTGCCTCTTTTTTGGATTACGGGTGATGCATTCCATTTTGATCCGTTCGTCATTCTACCGTAGGCTGACAATGGCCGGAAAATCCGGGAAATGCGTCAATATACGATTTTCCGGCCAAAATCATTTAATAAAAAATACTATAGAAAATTTAATAATTTTTCTGTTTTCATTTTTTTGTGTGATTAATGGATTGTATGTTTTTCAAATAAAGGTTTCAAAGTTACCAGAACCATAGTTTCAAATTCACATTGCCGGCACCTAAGAACCATTCACACTCCAACTTCATGAAACATTTTTTAGGAAAATTGTGCAATATTTGGGGGAAATGCCGCCAGGAATTCAAATGGAAAAAACATTTTCGTCGGGATTTTGCAAACCCGAATACACAGCTAGTCACATTGCACAAACCCACAAATATTCAACCTTGGAATTCGACGAAACATTACTTGTCGCTCTATTAAAGACTACACCAAAGAAGCGCTATATAGCTGACTGCTGAACGTTAGATTTTGGCGGATTAGGTATGGATCAAATTGGCATTATTTATTTTTAAATTTGCCTAAAGGTATCGAAAAATTAATAAGGCAAGTAGACAAATGATAAAATAATATTTACCAACTAATCAACAAAATATTATTATGGAAACCCGAATCCGCTGAGGAATTTAGATAGAAGAAACATTTTTTTACCCAGTGCAAGTAAACTGTTTTTTGGAAATGTTGGCACCTATTTCTTTTTTCAAAATCCGAATATTCGATTCTGGACCCCCGAACCCTCGCAAAATGACAAATAGGCGAAACATTTTTTGGGAATGCAACCGTAATTGGAATGTCCTCTAGCTTAGACCGGATCGCATCGTAGCACATTGCACAAATCCACAAGCAATGAACCTTAAAATGCTACAAAACATTACTGTGTAAATTTAGACGTCGAGACAGAGATTCGCAACGTCGAAAATCGTGATGCGAAAATTCGTAATGTCGTAATTGATAATGCCGAAAGTTCATAATATCGAAACTTCAGAATGACGAAATTTTTTTGCATAGGATTTGGCGGGGTTTCCGGGTGATTTGTTTGTGGAGATCGACGCCAAGACCGAGAAACTCGCAATAATGAGCCACTTTCTATGGGGTTTTCCAGCTTAAAAAGGTTCATAACTTTCCGAAAACCGTGATTTCGTAAATTTTTGCACACATATTCGGAATCCACGCAAAATTCTGCACAGGATAGACTTGGTCTAACTTGGAAAAACGCGCTGAAGCCTCTATTAATTCTATTTTGAATAATTAGTTGTACAAGAGCAGCACGGAGGGTTTGAATCCGTATTTGACGCAAAACATTGACTTTTCAAGCTTCTGCAACATTTTTTTGCAAATAAAAGAAAAATTCCTAACCCCCATGATTTGGGGCGGACATGATGTCTGCATAATCAATCGTGTCACTCCACATAAGACGCCAGGGTTCAAAAGTCAGTGGTCACCGCAAAAAAAATGCGTTCGATTCTCTATATTTTGCTCTTGATCGTTATTGTGGTTACGGTAGTTGAGGTAAGCACAAGCTCAAAAATAGGGTGCTCACTATTTCTAATATTCAAAAATTTATATTTCATAAACAATGCATAAATTTTGAAAGTGTGATTCGATAGAGCGTCGAAAAATATACTAAGAGAATGAATTTCATCCCCAGAAAATCTAAAGGAAATTTTTCACTGAATAAAGAAAAATTGATCAAAACCTAGGGGGAGGATAGGATAATAGGGTCGATTTTCCGTATCTTAAATGTTTTCGATATTTTGAAAAAAGAAATAAAAGTTATCTACATGAAGAGAAATTGTCGGAAAATTCTCTACGCTCGATACCCTGTAAACTCAAATTCTTATAAAACATGCAATTTTGCAGCAGCCTGCACACTATAAAAACTGTAAAAACTCTAGGAAAAGGTCTTGACGGCCGTAATTAATAAAATAACTAATCATTTAACAACCTGTAGACAAAATTTTACCAAGAAATTAAAAAGTATAGGGGTAAAAAGGTAAAAGTATACAAGATACTGGGAGACCTACTGGCTCTCAAGTTGAAACAGTCTCAAAATTCGGCTTGCGTCTTCCACCCTGACGCCGAATTGTTGTAAAACGCTTTTTTTGCAGAAAAATGACATTTCTTTTGCTTTTTTAAAATTTTATCCCGTTTTTAGCTGGTTAGCTAGGAAAGCGAAAGGCAAAAATCACAAAAAAAAGCAATTACAAAACGATTACGGTATGACTGTCAAAATTCCAGAGTCAGGAATGCGACACGGATGATGACTGCCCGTTTTTCAAATTTTGCTGTAACCCAAAGAACAATCCGATCAGGGGATTGTGCCGACATTTTGGGTGTCTCGTGCTATGAAATCGCACCGAATATTTCTATATTTCTTTATTTTTTATTTAACTTTATTTATTTTTATTTTATTTGTTTCTTCCTGATAAATTTTGCATTTCCTTATTTAATTATCGATCAGCTATAGTAATTATTGATCAAAAAACGTAGCAAAGCCACTGTGGACTCAGATACACTGATTCTTATGCAAATTCCGACTTGAAGCGGTTTCGGAAAAAAGAACGTATCGGGTTCGAAAAACGTCACTCGACCTGCGGCGCAAAAAAATTTTGATGTCCCAAAAAACATAGGGGTCCCAAAAAATCGACCCCTCTAGCAGTGCGATGCAGGCTCGGATAGGCATGGTTTTTACATCATTCGAAAGCCCTTGAAACGGCGAGAAAACAAGTTTTTGATATTAAACGACGCGTTAAAAATGCCTAAAATCAGCGTCGTCCTGTTAGCATGCGGATTTTACGGGAAAATAATCCGGAAAAACAATAATGCATCGAAACAGGACAATAACCCATGCAACATTAGCAGGTTTGATGGATTTTTGCCTTAAAATTCGTGAATTAAAGTGTTTATTAGTGTGTATATCGAAAAACAAATGTTGCCTGTTTTCTCGCTTGTCCGAGAGCTTTCAATAAATATTTAAACCGTCAAAATCAGACGCTTCCGCGGTCCGCCAGAGGGCGATCGATTTTTTGCGGGGCACCTAGTACAGAAATGTTTCAAATTCTTACGGAAATCATATCCTTAAGGAATTGATAATACGGCCTCCTTCCTAGGTTTCCGATCTGGCACTGGACTATTAACAGGGGAGACCAATTTTTATTTCCGCTATTCTCATCCGTCGATAATATTAATGTATTTTATAGTGTTTTCAGTAATTTTTGTTTGCTCCAAAGTTATAAAAAAATATTTACAAAATTTCGATTGGGTGTTTTGACCTTTTTTGTCATTTTCTGAAATTTTTAACCAAAAGTCAGAGATTTTCGAT